TGGGGCTGGGTTGCTCTGTTTCCTGCTGCCACTGAGAAGATGAGCACAACCAGCTGGGAGAGAGCAGTGTGGCAGGCAGCAGTGGTGCAGGGCAGGCTGCAGGGCCACTCTGGCTCCCACTCCCTGCATGGGGGGACCTCTGCTGCCTCTGCACCAGACCCCGTAATCCTCCCAGGTCCCTTGCATCCATAGGATGATCAGGATGGCTGCCATGGGGCCCCCAAAAGTGTTGGGTCTGCGGCAGCTGCCCCAATTCATCCTACAGATAGGATGGCTCTGATTCTCATTAAGCTAACGCATTATAGTCAGCTTAGGGAGTTAGAGCTATCTGTAGTGGAAAAATACAAAGTTATGGAAAAAGTGGATGCATTTGACAGAGGTAAATTCCCAAGTATATGGTGGTTCAAAGACAAGGGGACATGTGCTATTGTAAGTACAAGGTTAAATTATGAGTTCCAGCAAGAGACACCAGCCCATGGGATATGTCATTGATGCAGATGAATTAAACAAGGTGTTCTATTTTTTTATTCAATTAAGACACAATCTCTTGTGAGACCGGTAGTGGAAATGCTTGCTGCTCAGGGATTTCTGTCTGATGCAAACTCGTGTGTTGTGCACAAAAGATAGATACAAAGGTGCACAAGTGTACACTAGAAGATGAGTTCCCCCCTGATGAGGAAAACCAGCACCCAATCCATGTAAGCTAGCTGAATGGACTCCTTCATAGCTCCTTCTCCACTCTGTTCCTATTTGGTGGAAAAGCAGATGTGGCTAAAGAGATGAACTAGAGAATCCATTTACCCGAGTAATCCTAAATTGTTGTTGGCAATTGATGAAAATTAGAAGTGGCTTCATGCAACCCTACTTTATTTTGGGGGCAGACCTGGCACTCAGATAGTCCAGGATGGGGGAGGGGAAATGCAAATATATGTGTAGGTCTGTACCAAGCATTCATTAGCCACAGCCAGAGATAGCATAGAGCATATTGTAAAATGTAACCCAATGATTCCCAATCGAAATAGAATGGTTGTGAGGATCTGCAACTCTCTCTCCTCCATCCCAATCAAATAAGAAAGGAGTTATGTTCCTAATATAGAAATAATTTACGAAGAACAGTATCACCAACCAAGGGCTCCATACCTTTTGATAGTCCCTGGAATGTATATGTGGCAAATGCAAGACATAGCTTAATTTAAAGATGAAAAAAGTAATTATATAAAAATGATGGGTGACATTTTTATTTCAGGACTGCAAAGCAACACAGAAAGGAAAAATTTTTTAAAACAGTTATTATAAGGGAGTCAGGTGGGATAGGAGGAACATGGGATAGATCTTTGTGAAATTATATGATTATAAAGATTAGAAAACCAATTGTTTTAAAATATGTGTCTAACAAAAATTACTCCAGCGGTGATGTAATTTTAACCCCATATGCAGATTATCTTCAATAAATCAGTTGTCAAACCAGGCTTTGTGAAAGATGGCATTTCTGTTTCCATGCTTGGCATCAACATGGTTGTTGAAATACGTGAGATTGGACTTACCGCCACTTTCAGTGGGATGATCTTCTCAGTGAAACTCCCATTCAGCAAATTTGGCAATAATACTGAAGGACAGTGCGGTAAGATAGATGCATTAATCCTCTTTCTCACTCTCTTCCTATGTGTATTCCCTGAGCCTCGTAGTTATAATCAAGTGAAATTCCTCAAAGTAAAGTAAATGGATTTAGGGAGAATTTGGGTCTCATCCGTTGTTACTTTTTTATATAACTTTACTCTGCTTCTAACAAATATGTTTAAATGCTTAATACTGCAATGAGCTAATTTTTGTTTTATAATTTTAATCCTACATAAACAATTATTAAGTAAACTCAAAAAAATGATGCACTCTGTGTTTAGATCAAGTGATCTAAACTTACAAGGTGCTTGATCCTTGAATTGTGCTTATCCATTTTGAATTTGATGTTAACTTAATATGTTGTGCACTTTGCCAATGGCTCACACCTTTCTGATCTGGTTACATTTGATCTCTTCCAGGTACATGCACAAATAACAAATCAGATGAATGCCGCCTGCCAAGTGGTAAGATCATTTCTTCCTGTAGCGAAATGGCTCACCACTGGAAGGTTGATGATGACAAGAAGAAATACTGTGCAGGAACACCAATACCAACACCAGCACCCAACATCACCACTCCATCTCCCAGCTGTGCCCCTCCTACTCTGTGCAAGATCATTTTGAGCGAGTAAGATACAAATGAATTAATTTGCTGTTCCTTAAATAAGCAAAGGTAATCTAAAATCTTATTAAAGGGATGAAGATAAGAACTACAGGTTGGACCTCCCTGATCCGGTACTGTCGGGAACTAACCGGTCCCAGAGAATTTGCCTGATCAGGGAGGTCTCCTATCACAGGCTCCCAAACCCATTGCCTGCTGCTGGCAGACTGTCCCAGCGGGCACCCTGCCTCGCTCTCCACCCTTCAACCTGGCTGGGCTGCTTGCCCCATTGCTACTGGCTCCCTGGGCAGCACAGGCTCTGGCTCCTGCTGTAGGACTCTGATCCCGCACATCTGAGGCCACCCCAGTCCCATGCTCCAGCTGGCTGCCGCAGGGCTCTGGCCTCATGCTACTCTGGGCTTCCAACTCCAGCTCCATGCTCCTGGGGGCTGCCACAGTGGCTCTGCCCCATGCTACTGGGAAGGTGCCCACAGACTCCAGCCCCGCACTGCTTCTGGGGTCTCTGGCCCAGCCCCACGCTGCCTGCATGTTTCCCTGGCCCCAGCTGGTCCTCCTGCCCTTAGTCTCCTACCGGATGACAGATGTTGCCGGACCAGAGAGTGCCTGTTTCTGAAGGTACAACCTGTATATCTCCAACAAGCCTTTATCAACAAATACAGACACAAACCCAGTGGTTTTGGCCTTACACTCATATCTGAAGGCCAAACAATTATGTGACAGCTGCACAAAGAGGCAAACGTAATAGAAGTTCTCTGCAAGTGGAAACCACATTTCTGTTTAACCAAGGAAATCTCCATAGCTCTCTGGGGAGAGGGTTTGGATACTGTCAGCAAGTCAGGGGCCTGGCAAGTAAGAAAACCTAAATCTCATGGCTTGCAATTATGTACTTTAACCACAAAATCATCTACTTCCCACCTGCTTTCCACAAGTGTATCTATTCACACCAATTCATGCTTTTCAAACAATAACAGCACTTTACATTTGTAAGATGCCGATGAGTCTTGTTTAGGAAGACTTAGACAGAAAATCAGATTCCTTGATCCATAAAACAATCTAAAATACATTCTACATCATGGTTTCAGACTTCTCCATCTTTCTATTCTGGAGTCTTTCTCCCACATTTGTGCCCACTTTTCGAGCAGTCCCGAGTTAAATTTCAGTAAAACTTATACCAAGAAGAAGGATGATATCCTCACACTATGATGTTCCTCTTTGACAAGAATCACTTTTCTATAGAAACTGGGAAATTAAACTTTTTTCTTCTTCTTTGCTGTGTTTAAAGAGCCTTCAAAGAATGCCACAAGGTGATACCACCAGAAGATTATTACAAGGGCTGTGTCTTTGATGCGTGTCACATTACCAATTCATCCATTCAGTGTTCCAGCTTGGAGATATATGCCACTCTGTGTGCCACTAGAGGTGTTTGTATTGACTGGAGAGGAGAGACCAAAGGCAAATGCCGTAAGTACTGCAGCATTAACAAATACTTATGTTAATGAAGTGATATCTGGGGACTTGTTTAGTTAGTTAGTCATGCATTTCATGCTTTCTCAATGTATTTAATGTCCCTATAAAAATGTGAATAGCTTTGTCTCACTGGGTTTTTTTTTGATAGAATATGGCCACAATAATCAGATTAACCAGATTTGGTTCACAAATTGTTGTCAGCATGGAGTGTCACAGAAGTAATACTGTAAAGGTCACACTCTCATCCCAGACTAATGTAAATCCAGCATAGCTACAGGGAAGTTATTGTGAATTTACATAGGTATCACTAAGACTAGAATCTGATGAGCCGTTTTGTGAAAGTGCAAGCTACTAATTTGCTTTGTGATAGCACTTGCTTGCTCGTTATAGATGAATAACATGAGATTTCAGAGAGGGGAAGAGAGGACTGGAAAGTTCCTGATGAAAAATGATGATATAAAATGAATGGATAAACTAAAATTCTTACATCCCAACTCAACCTAGCTCATGAGTCTTATTCACTGCTTCAGTGAGTGCCTTATTGACAGAAAGCCAGAATGAATAAGGGGAGGGATTGGAAAGACCACTTAAAAGTTTGGGGCCTTAGATGCATGGGACCTCTTTCTACAAAATATAACCCAAACTGAAATGCCATCTGTCATCTGTTTAACCTCCTCTCATTTTCCCTTTCTCCTACAGCATATAATTGTCCAGCTGACAAAGTGTATAAGCCATGTGGACCTCTTAATCCTCCTACCTGTGATCAAAGGTATGAAAAGAACGTACAAGCAAACCATTTAGATCAATGTGTATTTATGGATTTTTCTCATTTGGGATCCTTTATAAATGGAGCTAATCAAAGTATCCATAGTGAATTTTGGCATTTTTTCATGAATCAAATATACGGGTATCTTTATTCCACCAGATCTGCTAATTAATAAAGAACTTAATCTGAAATTCCTATTGCTTCTTAAAAGAGCTGATTTATTTTCCTTCTTCGCATCATCTATATGTGACTTCCTGCATAGATTGCACTTGGCTATTAAAGTGTAAGAGATCTGTACACTAACATATGTCTCTCTTCACTCTAGGGCTATTCAACACAATGGCACTGGCCTAACTGAAGGATGTTTCTGCCCTGAAGGAAAGATTATGTTCAATGCAAACAGTGGTGTCTGTGTCCCAAGCTGCAGTAAGTTTGTTATTGGGTTTTTTGTTTGTTTGTTTGTTTGTTTGTTTGTTTGTTTGTTTGTTTGTTTTAAACTTTAGGAGTAGATAGGGCTTTGGACTGGGAATGGGAAGGCATGAGTTCCCATCTCTGCCACTGACACTGGAAAAGTCTCTTGAGTTTTTAGTCTTCCTATCTGTAAAATGGAAATAATAACAGTTATCCTCCTCTGTGAAGCTCATTGAGATCTACTGATGAAAAATTCTATATAAGAGTTAATATTGTTGTTGATCTAGAATTTGAGCCAATGTCCACTGAGATCAATGCATGCCTTCCCATTCATTTCAATAGGTGTTAGATTGGGCCCTTGATAGTTTTATAAAGAATGTTGAATAATGTGAACTATTATTGGTTATGAAAGCCAATAACTAATAATGCAGGCTAATTCCATAGCTACTGCTGTTATGGCCCATGCAAGATTCCTATACACCACTCTGCCAAAGAACCTTAATTCTACCTTGTAAACCTCCTCCTTTTAGCGTGCTCTGCCTCATCGGGGCACAGACTGATCATCATAATTGCCAGTTTGGTCATTTTATGGTGTGGCTAAATATGCACTAGTCACTGAGCTGAGAATTCATTGTACATATATGTCCTTAATTACAGCCATTGTATTCTGGAGTGAAAAACTAACACATTGCATTTCTTCTATCATGATCCCTGCCCCTACTTTACTGGGTATATTAATTTTAAAGTGTGTCCTCAGTGTATTATGAACCTGTGACACATTCAAACTGACAAAAAGGTATTTCTGGTGTGTTCTTTTCAGCATTTATCTGGAAAATATGCCCACCTTTCATCTCTGAAGAATTGCACCAATGTCTGCATGAATCTGTCAGCCCTCTTCTTCTAGTATTTATCTGCAGGCTGTTTCTGGTTGCAGTAGCTTCATCTACTCCCATCACATTTATTCTACATCATCTCAGTAGCACTAATGTTAAGATCTATCTTTTCTTCTTTTTTTTCAGATATCTGTATAGGACCAGATGGACTGCCCAAAGCAGTGAGTAATACAATCAGTATTTTTTATCAGATATAGACTGGCAAGCCAAAGCAACATTTGGGGTTTAGGAACACTAGGTTTGCCAAACATTTTAATAGATTTTGAAGAATATTTATTTTTGTAAAACATGAGTCCCTCCTAAATCTTATGCATGTGTCTGAATTCTGGAACTCTGTGTAATTTTATGAGTGCCTAAATTATAGATAATGGGTTCTTCAATTTCTAATCTTGCCATTACAGTCTGAAAATAAAGGACAAATAGGCATTCTAAAGGATCCGCATATAGGTTTCTTTTATTTTCTGGAATTATGCATGGAAAGTTTATTAGAAATGAAGAGGAAAATTTAGTTATAGCTATCAAAGTTTGCAATCTCAGGGTTTTTTTTTTAATTCCATCTAGTTGTACAAGACCCATTTTATATCATGAACAAGTGAACTAGGGCAAATAGTCTGACTCAGTTCTAAATAATTTATTTTTACAGGCTGGAGACCAGTGGAGAAGCAATTGCCAAGATTGTTTCTGTGACAATTACACTCTTACAGTGCAGTGTAAAAAGCACACATGTAAACCACAACCACCAGTCTCTTGTGATGACCCAGGGTTTGTACCTGCTCAGTCGCTGTCACCAGAAGACCCATGCTGTGTCCAGACTGAATGCCGTAAGAATTCTCCCAGCTCGTCCATGTGGAAAATATTGCTTAGATTGTGGGGAATTTAATTTAATTTGGACTTTGTTTTGTTCATATTGTGCCCACTTGTCCCATCACAACACCCCACATCTTTTGCACAGCATCTGTAAAATGGCTGAACTGAGCCCCTTTCCAAAGAAATATATTTCATTTCCAAGAAAGAAAAAAGAACCCAGGATATAACCCCTACAGGGAAACCATACCTCCCAAAAAGCCATTTGAAATTTCCAATTATTTTAAATATTGGGAAAAAAACAAAGTGTACAGCCCTTAATAAGTAAATAATACCTCCACCAACAAGACTGTGCTATTACCACCATTCAATCCCACCAAAAAACTCTCTGTTACCGAAAGTTCTAAGCTATTTCACAAAAATCTCCAGAACTTTTATAAGCCAGAGTAGAGATTCTGTGAATTCCTGAAAGTAACTAGATTCTCGATCCCTATAAATTTTCCTTTTCAAACCTGTGTCTGACTGGAAAAAGAAGTTTCTACTAATTCCTGAAAGTAACTAGATTCTCGATCCCTATAAATTTTCCTTTTCAAACCTGTGTCTGACTGGAAAAAGAAGCTTCTACTAACCTACTCTTCTGGGCCACAACCTTAAACTATTTAAGAATTAAGGTTAAGAATAAAGCTCATGAACTTGAAATAAGGTTTTACAGAGGTTCTTCTAATGTTTCTTCATAAGATATGCATTAGGAAACCCCATCTTCATGCTTACTCACACAGCTAGGATGCCAATTTTGGACTAGGGAGGGAGGAAACTTCAGAAGTTTTTGTTCATATAATACAAAATCTTCTGTACTAAACTAAGTCAAACTCCTTGTTTTCTCTCTCATATAGGATGTGACACAAAGGCATGCCCGAAATCAGTGCAGAGCTGTGAACCAGGATATGAGTTAATCACAGAAGTTCTGAAAGGAAATTGTTGTACTATCTTCAGCTGTAGTAAGTATTAAGTTCTTTTTTTTGTGAATTATCTACGCCCATCAAGAGGTGCGTCTAGACAGGAAGGATTTTGCGCAAAAGCAGCTGCCAAGACGTAGCCAAGATGTTGAAGAAAGCAGTCTGAGCAGCACAGCGTAAATGAGTTATATTCTGTTGTTGTATCTCCTCACAACCGACTTAGCTTTTCATATCTTTCTGTTTCTTTTTTAAAAACTTCATTTGTATCACATTGTTTTGGTTTTTTCTCCTTGCAGAGCTAGTACCAGGCTGTGTAAGCAATGGAATTTTCTACAAGGTATGTACATAAATGTAACTTATTCTAAAACGTAGTAGTGTGCAGTGCCCAGAAGAGTGGGGTATTGGCCCATGACTGGGCATCCTGGGCATGATCATAACACTAAATAACAGTGTAATAGAACAAAAAGTGATTCTGAATTTTAGCAGGGATCTAAAATGTATATTATTTGCACAAAGGCTGTGTTAAACATTGGTCATTACTTCCTCAAAAACCAACATTCCATCGCCCTCTGCATAAGGAATTTTTGCCACGAAAAATTACATGCCCATATCACCAACGATGGGACTGTGGATAAAAAAAGTGGGTTAAAGACTTTAGCCCAGTATTTCCCATCTGTGAAATACCTACATGAAGCCATTTATTTTTACTGACTATTCACAAGCCTCCTTTGACTTTGTTTAGCCTGGAGCAGTCATTCCAAAAGGTAACTGTGAAAAGTGCGTCTGCTCTGATGAAGTAGAGCCAGGGAGCCAGAGGAACATGGTGGCCTGCCAGCCCATTGCATGTGACACAGAGTGCCCACTGGTGAGTGTCACAGTTTAAAAACCTGCCTGAGAGGAAATGAGCATCCTTGACTCAGTGCAATTCCTTTTATATTCCTTTATAAACAGGGCTATGCATATAAGATGGAAGATGGACAGTGCTGTGGCAAATGTGTACAAGAAGCTTGTGTAGTGAAGGTGAACGATGACAAAGTCCACGTGCTTCCGGTAACTACTGTTTTAATGTTTTTGAGAACTCCGTTCTCCTTTCTCTGTCTGTCCTTGTGTTTATTGCATTCACTCACTGTATCTGCTCCCGTGTTAGGTTGTCTCCCTCCCAAACCACCCTGTACACTCTCTACATTTCTGTGGTAACGCTAGTTTGTATTGTGTGATTATCACTTGACAGTAATTCAGAGGTAGTTGAGTAAATAGGGATATGTGAATCTGTTATTAAAGTGATCTTGAAAGTGTAGGGGTAGAATTATAGCCTCCTCACACTTAGGCTATGTCTACACTGCAGAGTTTTTGTGCAAAATCAGTTGTTTGTGCACAAAAACTCGCAAAGCATCCACACCTCAAGCACATTTTTGCACAAGAAAATTTACAGTGAATCAACAGAACAGAGGGGTTTTTGCAGTATAGGTATTCCTCTTTCTATGAAGAATAATTCCTTTTTGCGCAAGAGCTCTTACACAAAAAGGTGTGTGTGGACAGGAAACGGGCGTGTGTGCAAAAATAGCCTATCAAAAGAAGCACAGGTGCTCTGGTGGCCATTCTGTTAAAGACAATCAGAGATTTCTTGTGAGAGAGCATCCATGCGGTCTTGACGCTCTCTTGCGCAAAAGCGCATTGCTTTTCTGATGCGCTTTTGCAGTGCGGACGCGCTCTTGCGCAAGAAGTTTTTGCGGATGATCTCTCCCGCATAAAGCTTCTTGCGCAAGAAGACTGCAGTGTACATGTAGCCTTAATGAACTGGGCTTTATTAATTACACAATAATAGCTTACAAATGCCCACAGCAGGAACTCACCTGACTTAGCCCTCAAGAACTATACATCAGCTTTTGGCAAAATAATCACCCTGTAGTAAATGGTTTGTAAATATAATTTTTTTTTAAGAAATAACTTGTAGATTTGCATTAACCTTTTACAAATGTTAATTGCTTACAGGTTGGAGAAGTCTGGCATGAGCCTGGTAATAATTGTACTTTCTATAAATGTGAACAAATTGAGGATCAGTTTGTTCCTATCTATATAAAGAAAGTCTGTCCACTCTTTTACCCAGAAGACTGTGATCCAGTAAGTACTAGTAATATTCCTCTAAATCTCATGTCTGTGGTCTTGGTGAAGGATAGGCACAAACAGTAGAATCACCGTGTCCAAAGATTATACTTGGACCCAAGTATTATATGGGTTACAATTCTGATTACAGCCTGTTCAAATATGAAAACTCTCAGAGGGGTAGCCATTTTAGTCTGTATTTGCAAAAACAACGAGGAGTCATGTGGCACATTAGGGGGCATCTACATGGCCATTATTCCAAAATAACAACGCGAGTATCTACACAGAAATTACATTATTTCGGAATAAATTCAAAATAATGATTGGCATATTCAGACTTCTGTAAACCTTACTCCAGAAGGAATAATGCCTATTCCAAAAGAACTATTTCAAAATAGCTGGAGTGTCGGCATTCTTCTGCTGCCATTTCGAAACAGCTCCTCCCCAGGGCCATTCAAAGTAATTACTACCTAGTTCTTCGTGAGGCTCTAAATCGAGGTACCACGTCCACATTAGGGGAGCCTGCCTTTGACTAATTTTGAGGCTTCTCAGTAGCGTAGACGTGCTATTTCAAAATAAGCTATTTTGGAGTATTTCTTCTGGAATAGCTTATTTCAAAATAAGTGTGCAGTGTAGATGTACCCTTAGGATGCATCTACACAGAGGCTACGTCTACACTGGCCCCTTTTTCGGAAGGGACATGCTAATTTTGAATGTGGGAATAGAGAAATCCACGGGGGATTTAAATATCCCCCACGGATTTAAATAAACATGCCTGCCGCTTTTTTTCCGGCTTGGGGAAAAGCCGGAAAAAAAGCGTCTAGACTGGCCCGATCCTCCAGAATAAAGCCCTATTCCGGAGGATCTCTTATTCCTACTTCAAAGTAGGAATAAGAGATCCTCCGGAATAGGGCTTTATTCCGGAGGATCAGGCCAGTCTAGACGGGTTTTTTTCCGGCTTTTCCCCAAGCCGGAAAAAAAGCGGCGGACATGTTTATTTAAATCCGCGGGGGATATTTAAATCCCCCGCGGATTTCCCTATTCCCAAGTTCAAAATTAGCATGCCCCTTCCGAAAAAGGGGCCAGTGTAGACGTAGCCAGCAGGTTTAACTCTAAATAAGCTACCCAAATTGAGCTACATCAATTGTGTAACTTATATAGAAATAGCTTATTTTAAAATTGGGAATGTCTACCCAGCACTTATTTCAAAATAGAGCACTCTTCCTCTGACTTCTCTTACTCCTCATACAATGAGGGTTACAGGAGTCAGAGTAAGAAATTCTCCAGCTTGACAGTATTTCAACGTTATTTCAAAATAACTGCCTGCTTTGTAGACGCGGACTAAATTATTTTGAAATATTGCTAGTTATTTCAAAATAATGTTGCTGTGTAGATGTATTCTAAGAGATGAACAGATCTTTTAGGATATAAGCCTAGGACTGAATAAGAATGTCAACTGGTTAACACATTACAAAGGCAATTTCTCCTTACTAAATATTCACATTTCCAATCAAATGCTATGAATGACCCATCTCCACCCTGTCTTGATTAGTTTTATTAATGCAAGCAACTTCTTCTTCATCTATATACACATGCTCATGTAACTTTCCCTCCAATTCACCTGACAAAGTGGGCTTTACCCACGAAAGCTGATGTCCTAATAAATCAGTTAGTCTCCAAGGTGCCACAGGACTCCTCATTGTCTATTCAAATAAGATCCCTTTGAATCTGACTTGAGTCAAAGTTTATTCTGCACTGAATTACAATGGATTGAGGGTAGTATAGAACACCTATAAAGGAGTGGGATTTTCAAAAGAATGTACGTGATACAGGAGCATAAGTTCCAGTAAAAGTTAATTGCTCTAAATCACTTACATGCTTTTGAAAAATCCTACCCAGTGAGACTAAGTAAGGTGAAGGAGAATACATTATTTTGAAGGGGGAATTGATTGAAATTAAGTCACCAAATTCAAATCAAGATTTTGGGATAGACTCGAACAGGACTGAATACGTGGAAGGCCAGTATTTTATTAACTATGTGATCAATGCTGGTTTAATTCCTAAATTTCAACACTCTAACTTCAGTCACTCAGAATGTCCTGTATCTGCAGCATGAAGTATGTAAAAGTTGGGTTAACATGTACAATACTAGAATTCTTAACTCTGAGGGTAGAAAATGAGCCCCACTTAACCCTAGCCTTTAAGAAACTGCCTATTAATGGTATACAGAGACAGAAGTTACCCCTCAGTGGAATACCATCAAGCTCCACCCAGCCCTGCTTCGAATCAGTATCTATCTTAATGCAGATCTTTTGCTGGCACCAAGGAAACATGGGTAGCAGGGAAGGCCCTCAGGGTGTTACGTACACTCCAATTCTGAGGCGTTTCCCCCTTTTTCTGCATTACAGGCTGACATCAAAATAACTGAAAATGGCTGCTGCAAGATATGTCCATCAAAACCTATAAGTAAGTCAAGCTACTTTTGTGGTGCAAACACATGGTCTAAGTAGTGAATTAAAGCATATTTGTCACGTTGGGTGGCCGGTGAGCTAACACAATGGCTGAGCAGAGGTGATCTGGGGCATTTTGCCTGTGGAGGGTAAGTTCGGACTTTCTGCTGAGGCAAGACAGCATACCTGGACATGCTCTCTTCAAAGGAGAGCGTGATACACAAATCATGGGCACTGGTCATGCATTTAAGAGCTGCCCAGTGGCTGAATTCAGCCTAGCCCATGCACCAGAACTTAAGGGAGAGGGAGCCTTCTCTCCTCCTTGAAAACAAAAGAAGCGAGAGCCACAATTCAGCCATATGTAATTAAAACAGGTGAACACACCATGTCATATCTCGCCCGTTCAGCTCCACCTCTCTCCATTTTCTGTTAATTACTGGATCTGGTAAATACATACACATATTCAATTATTTTCCCTTTATTACTGTAGGTGTAGAGTGTGCACCGCAAACTATCGCCACTGTCATCAGATACAGGGGATGCAACTCTTCTACGCCTGTGAAACTAACATACTGCAATGGCAACTGTAATACTTCTTCAATGTAAGTGGCTGCACGCTCATTACTCGCTCTCCTTATTCATGACTGTCCCTCTGCCCTCTTTGCATATATTCATTATACTGGGGGCAGGGAGCAAATGATGCATTTTTAATGCATCCAATAGCCACCTGGCAAGCAGGAGTTTGTTTCTGACACCTGCTATGTTACCAGATGTTAATTACCTTAAGGCCTAGCAGTTTTTACTAGAAAAGAGCTAGTGGCAGAGTGGCAAATGCCTTTAACCTCTGACTTGAACTTTTGCCCTTTGGAAAATTAGGTTGTCCTCTGTACATCTATTTCTCTACCTGCATAATGTGCATAATAACACTTAGGCACCATTGTAAAGTATTTTTGCAATTTTGGTTGATAAATGCACAGTATTCATGTAAGCTACTCTTACATTCAGCAATAACTTCTTCCATAAATAGTCCCAATGAAATTATATTTCACCACAGTATTATCACCGAATTAGTGTCAAACAGATTACTTCCAACAAAGATGTGACATATTCAGTGATATTTAGCAATGGGGGTGTATTTCACTGTTGATTTTGCAGCACTATTTCTAAATATTTTTTTCTTATTGCCTCTATTTTGTGGTCAATCAGATATTCCTTTCAAGCGAACGTGATGCAACACAGTTGCAAGTGCTGTCAGGAGGTTAAAACCAGCAAAAGACAGGTGACCCTGAGCTGCCCTGGTGGAAAGAGCATTAATTACTCATACACCCAAGTGGACCAATGTGATTGTGTGAGCACAGAGTGCAATCCACAAACCATTTCTACCACTCCAGCACAACAGCAAAAGCAAGAAGAGCAGCAACAGCAACAGATCCAGAAGCAGGACGAAAAAGAGGATTAGAAAGAAACCACAACCAAGAAGAGTGAGAAAGACTAAAATAAATCCTTCTACCTTTCCCCCCCAATAATAAACAAATATCCAAAGCAGCTAGAATCTTGGACATATGGATGAAATTCCTGTGTGCATGCTAAAAATTTCTGTTTCCCAATTATTTCATTTTCCATTATCAAAGGGTCTCATTGTTTTGAGTGTCTTCTCCCTTCCACTTGACAGACGAAGGATTAGGAAATCTTGACAGGTTTCTTTTTTCTCAGCAATGCTATACTATATGACTCTCAACTTTTCTTTCAATGGGATGGGGTGAGTGAAACTATACAGTGACTATTTCCACAACACTTTTAGAAAGTCCTTGCTGTAAATATAGTTTCTTTTTTGGCTTGAAATTTTCTCTATTGTAATTCTGACACTGACTGCCCAAGGCCAAGCACAGAACTAACATCATTGCATAGATGATAATTTTTCACTAGCCATACTCATTATAGTGTGTTCCACATCACCTGACACTCACTAGTCACTACATTGGAATGGAAGACTTCTAAAGTCTCCTTTAATTCTAGTTCAATTAGGTGGTGTCAACAATTCAAGTCCAGGAAATATAGAGACTATCACTCTCCCCATCTTACCTTTTTGTTTGTTCATTTGTTTCTTGTTTTACCATTAAGGAAAGTTTAGGTTGTAGAAACTTCATCTTCTCAAACATGAAACTTTAAAAATACTGG